GGGAATGCTGCAAACCGGGTAGGGGGAGATGATGGGGGACGGAGACCGTAGTGAGTTTTTATCGCTGTTTATCAATGGGAAACCAGTGGAAAACTAGCGCAGAGATTATCAAGACAAAGTGTCAGGTAGCGCTGTACAAGAAAATAGGCATCCTTCTTGCTGGAGGATTCTCCCGTTCCCTGCAGACTATGTGCAATTTTGTTAATCGGTATTAAACCGATGATGACGATAATACCTGAAAAATCTGCTTATTGTTGCAGATAGGCCAGAAAGCTAGGGGAGCGCTTTTACGTAATCAATTGCTTGAGTTGTCTCAGAAACACTGCTTCTAACTTCAGCAGGCTTGTGGACAGAAGCAGCCGTTAGATAAAGCCTGCCCCTTCCTTGTTCGTTCTTCACCCTCAGCTCCGTATTTGTGTTGTGGAGGTGGGGGGGTTATTTGTTTGTTTTAAATCTAGATTAATGCCGTGGTTTTAATACAAACATGAACCTGTCTTCAGAAGTTGACATCACTGAGGCATCAGCCAATTGGTTGACGTTTAACCAACCTTCTTTTTACACATAAACCCCATCAAAGAATTGTTTACACTAATGTTCTTTTGAAATGCAAATCCAGAATGCCAACAGACTGAAACTCAATTTAGATTAATGTAATTACCTGCAATGCACAAATGAGGCTATACTATTTAATAGCCTTCACTTAAACCTTTTTAGAAGATCAAAAAGACTCCTATTGTTGAAGTTTAGTACTACAACAATTAAAAGATGCCTCTGTGTAATTTTCGTGTTACCTTTATCACTTTGCAGAAGCTTGTGTTTTTGCTTTGGTACTCTGAAATAAAAATATCTGAAATAATTACAATTCACATTGAAAAAGAATAACAACTTTGTGATGTATTAGGTCCACATCTCATAGGGAGATTTTTTTGCTGCTTGCTTCTTAGCACTTCAGAAGAATAATTGTCTGTCCTCTTGTTTTAGGCTTTAAAGAAATCAATGCTCCAACTATTACCCCACCGCTCAGTCAGCCTAAAAGATCAAAAAAACGCCATGCAAATTTAACATTGGATAAAATGATGGAAAAATTCCTGCAGCAGAGCGTGGATACGGAAGAGAAATTTTACAGATACGAAGAGCAGAGGCTCAAAATTGAGGACAAGCGTCGGGAAGCTGAGCACGCTCGAGAGCTCCAGATGTTACAGATGTTGGGACAGATGTTGGCAGGAATTTCTTCTACGGTATCACAAAGGTCACAGTCTATACCAGCGAGTCCACCTCAGAGAGCGAACCATCGTTCATATGGGGATAACTTTAATTATAATGCTATGACAGCAGCACTTTCTCCACCGATAGGTACTTCCTTCTATAGCATAAACAAAAGCTCATTTTTTTTAAAACTTCTATGTGAAAGCACTGGTAGTAAGTGGCTTTTGAAATAAAAGCTAGTTGGAATTATTTAATATTGTGGTGAAGGTGTCTGTCTGATGTAAAATGAAATTAAAACATCATTCGTACCATTGTACTGATTATTTAATAGAGATACATTAGTTACAACAAATCTTAATGAGCAAAATCACACTTTTCGAACCCTATAAACATTGGGGACTTCTTTTCCACGTTCATGTCTCTGTAAAGTGAAGTTAGGAGAAGTTTTATATGTAAAAGGCAAGTAGCGCATTTGCTGAAAGCTGAATGGAAACACTAGGTACCGTGTAGCGGAAATTCTGCTGCTATTGAAGTTAACAGGCCTAACCCAGTATGTGAAGTTAAGGCTGTGCGTGTGTTTTTTCAGGGTTGGGAAAAGAGTGGAGTTTTGCCTACGCTGAAGTAAATCAGATGTTAAAATCCAGCTTCTTTAAAATAAATTTGTTTGAATCAAAATTCCGAATTTTATCTTTAATTAAACATCATATTACTGTAGTAGGCATAATAGAAGATGAAAATATTGCCATATATTTTTATTCTACACCAGTTCCTTTATAAATTCTTTGGGGGTCTGAATTTATTTTTAAGAAAAAGGCAAAGTAGTAACTCTAAAATTGGTATTTATGCACAGACTTTTCCTTCCGTACCTTATGTGTGGGCCAGAAGCTGATAATCAGATATTAGCATTCATTAACAGACTTCTCGGGATCTGTGGCTCCGTGTCGTTTATCTTTATCATAGTCTCTTTGTACGTGGAGGTAGATTGCGTGGGCAGGAGGAAAACAGGGATACTCTTGTCAGTGCTGAAACCAGAGTCAGCTCGGGGCTTAGTGGTTGCAGCCTGCCGCGTGGAAACGACACAAGTCTCGTTCTGTTTTAATTCTGAATTTCGCACTGCTCGGAAGGAAAAATCGTGTTTTGAAAAGGAAAAAAAAAAACCACCTACCCTCAGTGTTGAATAATAATCCGGCATGCCAGATCCTAAAGGGCATTCTCATGAGAGAATCTTGGAGCCTTTTCAGTTCTACGTTACGTACTGCGTTTCCCTGTAAAACGCATGGGGGACTGGATGGTTAGGCCTATTGAGGGTTTAGGCTGGCTGACTTGGTTGTGTTTCTTCTTGGCTGGATAGTTAGTCTGTAGCATTCCTTGATGGCAGCAGACTTTTGTAGATAAATTACGGCATATGTATGGATTCTGTGTTTTAAATGTTGTTTTCACACCTAAAGCGCTTTAGGAAATTATTTGAGGTTCTAGACTGGGGTGATGGTACCCACAAGGCCTTGCTATTACTGTTGAAAGGTTTTTCGCTGAGTTTCATTATCTGTAAAGACTTGAAACGGAAGTTCAGGTTTCTTGCTGGATTTTGTCATAGAAGTGTACAATCGTATTACACTGTGCAAAAATGCATTACATATATATTTAACTGTAGCAAGAGCAACTCGGGATTCTAATCTTTTAATTGGTAAAGGTGTAACAAAGCATTTATAATACAATGTGAAAATAACGCTTCAGGCAGCACATCTTTTAAGGAATTAAGATTTCAGTTGTTTATAGCTAAATACGCCTTAGTGTTTCTGTAGGTAAGTGGGGCTCTATTAAGAATTGCTTTTTGCATAATTCTCTGTTTTTTCCCCATTTATTATGCAATCATTTTATATTTACGTGTAAACAAAAACCAGCAACAAAGAAACAGAGGACCTTCTTAACAACATTGCACTTTAAGGGTTACAAGCTATACATAAGTATATTTCTTGTGTGGTTGAAAACCAGTGAGTGTATGAAGTGCGATTTAAAGAAAATAATCTGTCCTGTTTCCAGAGGACATGAGTGTTTTGTTCTCCTCTGGGTCACTGCAATGCTATTTTGGCCATAATCCAGAACAGGGTGGTTTTTTCTTTTCCTTTTTTTAATTAATCTCAATAGGAATGGGATGCCTGTATTATAGAAGGGTTTTAAAAGCAAAAGATCAGCCAGGAGTATTTGTCATTATTGAACGCTAAAGCATTTTATTACTGAAGATTAGCGCGTCTGGTTTAGGTTTAGATTCTGTGCAAGACGGAGAAAAAGATGCTTTCTGCTGATAGCGCACAGATGCGGAGTTTTCTTGTTTATTACATTTTTTTCCCCCATTATTAAGTCCAAAATTTCTGGATCAGTTTTTCGTCTTTTTTTTTTCCCCCTTCCCTTCTCTAGATTTTGGAGTTGGGGGGTGGGATTACTAAGTTTTATACAGCTGAAAATCAGGAGTATCGTGGGAGTTATTTTTTGCATAATTATGTATTACTATATAGCAATTCCTTGAAAGCTTTTTTAGAAGATCTGTAAAAAAGAATGTAAGCATAGCTACAGTCTAGGAGGCTTAATATTAACGTTCAAATAAGCCGCTCTTCTGAACAGAACTGTACAGTTAATGAGGAGCTTTGTCGAAATATAAGAACTTACTCTTTTAGTGTATTTACTGCAATTTATAGTTAACACATAGTTGATAGAAGTACTGATTCTCTTCAGTTGTAATTGTTGAAATACTTTTTTCTTCTAAATTTTTGTAGTCTTTTGAAACAGTAATTTGAATATGTAGCCTTCTGAGTGTGCAGTTGTTTTAATATGTAGCTTGACATGTAGCTTTGCATCAGAGATCTGTAGTTGTATTATAGCTGAAAATTATCTGTGTGTGATATTTGTAATGTTTGCATCTAGTGTGTTGGCTTGTAGTTTTGCAGAAAGACTTTCATTATGCTTTGTAACCACCTGCCAAAATAAAAAAGCAGTGAGATAGGCCCTGATTCTGCTAAGAGGTGGAAGTCTTTAAGGGGAAGCAAAAAATAAGGTAGGGTGTACGTTTAAAATGTGGTTTTAGTTGCTCTGATTGCTCTGCGTCTGGATGTGTTTAGTCCTTATTAAGTGTACCTATTTCAGTTGAGCTTAATTATGAAAGTAATTTCAGGCTGAACTAAGAAGATATTTCTAGTCACAAAGTGTTCATAGAACTATTCTGGGCTGTTGTTTCTTTCTGTACCTGAGCCCTAAATTAGGACTGTGAGCAGTCAGTGGGAATATTCTCTGCATCAGACCCTAAATTCACTTTTAAAATCGTCACCTTCCCTGGTTACTCACCATTTTAAAGGCCTTTAAGTGACGAAGCATTTGGTTTTTAGAAGTATGTTACTGTGTATATCTTCGAGTGATTTTATTAGTGTTTATGAGTGCTTAAAAGAAATGCTGATAGTAGTTTAAGAAAGAACATACTTTAAAGTAACACTTATTTTCTTCTTTTCAGTTATAGAGAGATCTTTTTCACTGCACAGAACACACTCTCTAAAGGATATGGAGAATATTTTTCAACTGGTGCGCAATGTTATCCCTCCTCTAACAGGGAAAAGGCATAAAGGTCAAGATGGACGTATAGGCATTGTTGGAGGATGTCAAGAGTAAGTTAAACAGAAATTTTATTTTTGTTTCTGAGGGAGTTTGAGGATGTCATAAGTACTTGTAGAAGGCATTCAAACTCATCTTACATTTAAAACATGAGTATTTTCCAGAGAGCTTTACTAGTCCATCATCATGACCATGCATACTTGTGAAAGAACGTGTTTCCCTGCAGTTGTGTTGCAAAATTTTGGTAGTGAACGTGGTTGAAACTTAGAACACTGTTTGTGTCTGTGTCTACCTTCTCTGTCTGTTTTTGACCACCAAACTCTCTCCGCTTTCAGTGTTAGTCTTTTCCCACTGCATGATGAAGTTATGGAATAAGTAGAGTAGAGTAAGACAGTGGCACATCTGATTTTTTTTTTTTTTTAAATATTTTAGTATCTTGGGAACTGGGTCTCTTAAATCAGGAATAGAATATTTTCTTACTGCGTGCTTTTTATTTTGATAAATTGTGGTGTTTACTAGATTCTGCCAATACCTTGTTTTGTGTTCTGGAGTAATAAAAATAGCATGTTTCAGGGAAAAAAGAGATACAGCATAAATCGGTTAAATGCTGTACTGACCTAGAAATAAAACGGGCTCTATTCTTTCCTTGGCCACGTTCAGTAATCTGCACAATACTTTGAATGAGCCACTACATCTTCCTGTTTTTCATTTTCCCCTTTTGAAATAGAGATGGCATCTTTGTCCTGTAAAAGAGATCTGGTGTTGGACACCTGCCATTAATAAACATTCTATAAAGAGCAAAAAGGTGATGTCTTACAGCTGGGTTGATTAGCCAGGAGTTAGTTTTCCTGTTGGCCTAAAGGGCTTAGGTTCTTACCTCTTGGCAGAAGCAGGCACCTCTGGAGGGTGCTTCTGTCCATCTCTCTCTCTTCAGTCTTCAACTGGAATCACAGTTCAGGCACTTTAGTTATGCATCTAAATTTAGGTGGGATTCTTCCAGATCACAGATCACAGATTTGGCTTGCAAACAGTGCTTAACTCTTGTTTTGTTTTGTTTGTCTCTAAACTTTTAAGTTAGTTGTCTGAGAAGAGTTTGCTTTTTTAGGGCATTATCTTCATAAATATTTCTATGAAAGGATCAGGTGGCTAAGGTGAAATCTTGCGCCTTTGAAATCAAAGCCAGGTTTGAGATTGGCTTCAGTATAGCAAGATTTTATCTGTCTTTTACAGCAAGTGAAAGAGAAAGCTTTTTTAAAATTTGCTCTTGAATTTGGGACTTCATTATGGCAGGCTGATTTCCAGATTATCTAATCTCATGACTGTGTTTCCTAACCTAAACTGTATTTCATTCTAGATACACTGGAGCACCGTATTTTGCTGCAATTACAGCTCTCAAAGTGGTACGTGTTCTTCTATACCAATCTAAAATGAACTTGTTATCATTTATATTGGCTAAGCGCCATTTTTTAAAAGCATTCGTTCTGTGCTGCACATGAAATTTGAGTTCTAAAAGGTCTTTTATTTAACAAAGAAAATCCTTAGTCCTGGATTTGTAAAAATACTTCGTAAATATGTGTCATTTGCAATGTTTTCTGTAAATATTTTCTCTTTATAAGGTGAAGTTAGACATACATCAAAAAATTGAAAATTTAAGAGGGATAACTTTTATCAGAGACTTGGATAGGAAATTTCAAAACTTGATGAAATGTTTTCTCCAAAAGTGAACAATAAAATAACTTTAGATTAGTGTTTAAAGTTACATTTCCAGTGCTGCAGTTAGTTCTTCAGAAATTTTTTCTGGACCTGATAAGTGTGTTGAATGAAGTAACTTTCTTTCAAAACTTAAGCTTTAGGCTAGTAAAATTCTCATGTGCTGTAAGTCTAAGGATTGTTGGTTGAATTTAATGTCGTTTTTAATAGCACGTTTTATTTACATTATAACCTTAGCAGAAGTATTTTCTAAGCTTTGTTGCCCTAGAATTGTGAACTTCCTTACTTTAGTGACATATTAACTGGCTAAAAATATGTTTACTGCAGACTGCATAAATACAGTGGTGATTATTCAAATGGAAGCAAATCATGCTTACATAATACATGTACTTTTCAGTACTCATATATAGTGTGTCAGTACTTCCAGTTCATTGTGTGTGTTTTTCATTTTAAGATTTGTTTCAATAAGTAGGTATCCAATCCAGGTATTGCCACCCATCCCTCCTCCAGGATGCAGTCCCTCAAGGATTTAAAACTGAAATTATGTTATTTAATGATCTTATATAAGATATTAAGGCCACTCAGCTTTCTGTTCACTATGTGCAAATGCAGTAGCATACTAGGAGGTCCCCTATTGAAGTACTTGGTCTCAGATCATTGCACCTGCACATAAAGAGTCATAGGATCAAATCTCTGCATTGCTTAGTAGCTTGAAATGTTAAATATATAGTAGTGAAGCAAAGGAGACACTTTCTTAACCTTGGGAAATTTCAGTATGCAAGACAGATAGAAGATCAGGCTTTCTGGTCACTGCTTACATAATTTTTATGTGTATGTCTGATTTTTTGAGTTGATAACAGAAGCTTGAGGCTAAACTCCTCAGCTTTAATGTTTGTGTAACTTAAGGGGTGTTGTTGAAATTGTGCTAGCCTTTATCTGGTATGGATTTCGCCCATTGAGTAAAAATGGTAGGACTGGAAATGTCCTCATAGATTGCCATAGCTATATTTTGCAAGTATATTACAGTAGTATTTTTCCTCTCTAATGGAGCTTGTCTCTTGTTCAGCTGTGTTCTTTTGCTTTTCTTCTTATCGTATGTGTGACATTTTAGTCTTTGCTCATCTGCAAATGAGAAGCATTTCTCAAGTGAGTAAAGGTTCAAGATCTGTGTTTTCAGTCATCTTATCGATGAGAAGCAGAAAAAAAATTATATTGGAAGTTAGATACAAAAAAATTTCTCCAAAACATTGCATGGTTGTCTAAGGCAAAATAGAAAAAATAATAAAGTTTGCTTTAACTACTGAGAAGTAAGAATTCAGGTGAATTATTCACTGAGTAAACTTTGGAATGATAAAGTTATTATTAAGTATAAATTTGATAATTCTGTTTGCAAATTTTCTTTTTTAGGGTGCAGATTTATCCCATGTGTTTTGTACCAAAGATGCAGCAACAGTAATCAAATCATATAGTCCAGAGCTGATTGTTCATCCAGTTCTGTAAGTGACTTACCTTTTGTTTAAATGAGCAAGTCAGGATTACCAGTTTGAACATTTCAGTCTGACAGTTGATTAGTTTGCATTATTTCTTTTTCTGAGTTACAGGATGGGTGAGCTGGAGATTACAAAAACTCCTGGGTTTGTCCTTTCATCACAAACAGTTAGATATTTAATATAGATTTTTTTTTTTCATTACTTTCAAAGTACAGTTTTTTTAAAAAGCAAAGGTCTTGTTTTCCGCTACTTGCTGACATGTGTTCTGTGATTGTAATGCGTTTAACTGTGAACAGTAGCAAAATCCAGAACTAAGAATCACTACAAGTCAGCATTTTAGAGTCTGCGTTTGAAAGGCAAATAGAGTATGTTCTCTTGCTTCTTCAGTCCTGGTAGTATTTAACAGTAGTGTATCTTTTTTCCTCTCACTGCTGTGTATATAGTCATTTATGCAAAATTACACAAGAGAGATGCTGATTCTCATTTTTCTCATAAGTATGTTGCATTAGATACACGCCTATTCCTGGGAATAAATGGATGTTCTAAAATGATCTAAAATATAGGCTTTATTAACAAGAAGATGAAAAGTTTAATAAGCAACTGTCCTAATTGGGAAAATCAGTGTGTGCTTCCCTGAATTTGTGTACTGAATTATGTTACTGGTTGGTGAACTTCTGCAGGATAAATTGTTTCAATTGGGTGTTATGATGGTTTACAATGAGCACTGCAAATGAGAATTAAGATGTGTGCCTTAGGTATATGTCCCTGAGCTTAGCTTGCACCAGTGCGTGTCAAAGTCTGTTGGTGTACATCGCAAAGCTGTGATTAAGCTAGAAAAAGCATAATTTAAAATCGTGTTTGTCAGATATTGCTGTCAGGAAGGATTTATGACAGTAGAGCTATTTCGGTGTCCGAGAAGAAGAATATGGTCTCCCTTATGGGGACACCTGCGGTTGGAAGCCATAAGTTTATTACATTCTAAAGGTGGGTTTCATTCCTGTCGGTGTAGAGAGAGGTGCTTAGAAAGAAGTCAGTTAAACAGACAGATACCAAAGTTGTGTTTTGTTGTTGGGGTTCCCCCCCCCCAAGATAGAAGAAACCCACGACTTTGTGGATTTTAGACAGGGAAAAAATGATGTTTGAAAGCAAGGGGAAGATACAAGGGTAAGGTTTTTATCAGTCTGACTGCATTAGCCTTTAAAATCCAAAAGGCACATTTTCAGTTGTTCTGTCTGATATCACATGATAACAAATGAGATGGAGAGTCTTAATGGCAATATTAGCTTGTAACTTAGGTTGTCTTGGTGGATGACACTTGGGATACAGCATATGGTTGTCTTGTATGGGAAGGGGTTGACCTTGCCTTGGGAGAAGCATTTTTCGTATACGCAGGGTTCTTGATGTCTTGATGAAAAGGTTAATAGGAGAAACAGAAACAGCATAGAGAAAAAGGGAGGGGACAATGTGTAAACAGTAAAATTTCTGTTCGTGGAGGACCAGGTTGTGCCTACTAAATAAGGGGTTTTTTTTTATATATATATTTATACACAGATTTTTAAGTGTCTTCTGTGGAATTCAGATCTCGATGAAAACTCTGATCTTTCTATTCGCAAAGAGAGCTTTTGATTTTAAACTTCAGCTCTGTCTATAAATTCCTCCAGATGTACAAAGTACAGTGAATCTAGAAATCTTCATATCCATATAGCTTTAAGCCTGAAACTCAATGTTTAATACTTTTATTACAACTCTGATTAATTTCACCCAGACAGCTGGCTAATTGCATGAAGCAATGGATCTGTAAATATTGTTTATATGACATTCAAAATGAAGAAATGGAAAAATGCAAATATCAGAATGTTGAGATTTTGCGTGTTAAATTTTCTCATATTTTTATCTCTTCTGCTTCATTTGAGGAAAAGAGAAAACAGTCTTTTCTGGTTAGAAAGGAAAAAAAATCTTGACTGACTCTATTGAGCCCAGGTTTTATTCAAATTTACACAAACAGCCTATTTTTCTCGTAAGGTCCTTTATCTTCAGTGTCACACTTCTCATATGATCTTTTATATGTTGTGGAGCTGTTCGAGTTCTGCAGGCACGGCTGGCCGCTCTTGATTCAGAGCCTGATCTCTTAAACAGTCTTTGTACTTTCTCCCGGGCTGCACTTCACGCATGGAAGAACCTCCGGGTAAAACCCACCGAGCAGCTACGTCATTGTTTTCTTTTGTGTCTCTCCTTAAAACTTTGCTTTGTTATGATTTCTCCATGACCCTTCAGAGTAACTAGGTAGCCGTTGTACCACTCTCTTATTATGCTAATCATAATTATGGCCCCGTGTACTCCTCAATTCACTGTTTGAACAGCTTGGCATTTCGCCAGGGTTCAGCTGCCATTTTGTACTGCCAGGAGTCTGACATTTTATCATCTCCTCTGTGACTTGG